CATTAACCTGCAGCTCTTTGAAAAACTTGCCATGCCACAGCAACAACAGCTGGGACCTGAGCATTTTGGAAGTAGTAGACACTAAACTCCATGCTGGAATCCTTCACTTTAGGTGAGCACTTGAAAATATAGCCCTAAGACTTTAAAAATTGTATCCTAATTGTATCCTAAGTGATTAGTTCAAATCCATCTCCAAGAGATTTAATGCAATACCATTAGGTAGTTTGTATCAAGTAAAGGGAGGTATCTCACTTCAGTGGACAGAGACTCCCTCATGAAATYCAAGCCAACAATTCTCACTCTTAGCAAGCTTAGAATGAACAAGGCAGCCTGTAATCTCCCCTCTAATTCTGGGGTAGCAAGCACAGTCAAAACATAAAGCCCAGTTTGTATCTGTTCTGAGATTAAGAGGAAGATTTCAGTCTCACAGCTATCAAATGTAAGTACAATTAAAACTAAACTGCCTCTAATAACAAATGAACAAATTCATTTTACAAGGTTCATGTCACATCTGCACTCCAACACTACTGGTTAACATTTCTCATTCTCATTATATAGAAATAGAAATTTCTCATTGTATCCGTACACCTCTGCCAGCTTTTTTACCTGCCATTTGATACTGCCAGCTCTATCCAGCCCCAATTATTCCGACAAGAAACTGCACACAGGAGCGGGTGGTATTTCTCCATAGTGCTGCACTACTGCTGTGCTGTGACAGCAGCACTCATGCCTCTGAGCAGCAGCAGAGGTGCATGCTATCCAGAACAGAACACAGAAGGGGATCCCYAGCTGTGTTGGAGAGCACTGCTGAGGCCCTCTGGTTCCCTATGGCACCAGAGCGCTCCGTTCTGGGAGATGCTTTGGTGCTCTTCACTCCCAAGGGCTGTATCAAGCTCAGAAGCTATTTCTCATCCTGCAGAACAGATTGAAACAAACCTGTTTTTCCTTCATTCAACACAGCAACCACAGGTAGCCTCTGCACAGAGGCACTTAAATTTCAATTAAGCTTCYGAATTTCAATTAAGCTTTCAATTGAAAGCTTAAGGAGCTGCAGAACCTCCTAAGGACTTTGCAGAACCCCCTGAGGAACCAGCAGTGCTCATCCCAGGCCTGCAGTGTTGGGGGCCAGGGGGAGCTCCAGGCTGCCCGCACCTCCCCTCATGGGCACCAGGCAGGTACGAGGTGCCCGCCCGGAGCTGCTCCCTGGGGCAGGGCCTACATGCAGGGCACTCGCTGTTTATGGGGCTGCAATTCTATTCACTTGCCTCTCAGCTGCCCTTGCTGCATGAAAACATCAGTGTGGAAAAAGTGAAATTCATGGAGCCAAGCGCTGAGCATGCAGGTTCAGCACTTGGCTGCTTTATAGCATAGATAACCCTGCTACAAATGTGCAGGYGCCGTGGTCTGCACTTCAGAGTAGCAATGGAGATGGTAACTCCAAGCATCTAAACCAAGAGATGCTGCTCCCTTAGCTGCTTGCAGCACAAGGCCAGGGGCACATACAAGTTCAGACCTGGTTCTACCCTGACAGGCTGGCAAGAAAACACTCCATTAGGAGCAAAATTACCAGATATGTAACTTTTTTTTTTTTTTTTTTTTTTAAAAAAAACAGCCTGAGAGCTGCAGTCTCCCCCAGAGCAAAAAGGGATGAGCATTCAACATTGCTCTGCAGGATATTGGAATACTTCAGATTTTTTTTTTTTAGCATCCATAAGAATACTAAAGTGGAGGTTAGAATTGATTTCCAGATCCACAGTTCTGATYGGAATCAGAACTTGCCTACTCTTATGGACTATCTAGACCAAGCTTGCCAGCTCTGCTCCACATAGGAATTGCTCTTCAAGAAGCTGCAAATGTCTTGTTTTGAAAAAATGTGGGACTCAAACTATTCAAGTAAAAGCCTTTTAAGCAAATAAAGTGATCTGAAGCASAATTGTGAAAAGAAAAATACCTTTGATCCTTCAAGGGTATAAAACACAAAAATGGCTAGTCTGCAGCTGGCAGAGGAGAACCGCCTCTAGCGCCGATTTGACCTGCACAGATTGGAGATGCAGAGGGCACATTTTGGGTACTCTTTGCTCTCACACTGTGGAAATCCTCTCCCCCTTGGGCACAGGCTTAGCTCTTCCCATGAGCAGTTCCTCCAGCTGGAAGGCACTGAACTTTTCTTGTGACTGCAGTCAGATACCTGAGCAAGGTGCTAATGGTCACACAGATGTAACTGGGGTGCAGCCTTTTCTGAGGTGGAAGGAAGCAGCCAACAGCACATGCTACTTTTCCTCATGCTCTGATAATTACTGTTTTACTAATAATCTTGCTGCTGCTGCTGCTRCTACTACTAACAATAATTACTACAATCTTCACAGCTTRTAACAATGCCTGTAGCCTAGTTTTGACATTAAGTGCAAACATATTACACAGCTGTATAAACTGGTCTTAATTAAAGTTTCTTGATTAAAACCTACAGAACATTATTGTTGCAGTCATCATATCGGGATGTTGCAGCTAGCTGGCTAAACTCAAAATAAACAGTATTTGAAAGAGAGTTATTGCAGAATAGGAGGAGGGAAGGTTTGAAGTTAGTACTCGCCCCCACTGCCTTCAGTGAACAGCTGGAACTGAGTCTGTCAGTGTTGTCACCTCCACATTTAAAAACAAAGCAGCAGAGCCTCCTCAAATCACGCAATCTGCTTCAAAAATAGTGAATTTCTGAAAGTTTATTCTGAAAGTTATTTACTTGCTTCCTGGGTTTGAGCAGTTAGGGGTCACATATGCAACCTTCTGTGTCCAAACATGCAGATGTTTTTAGAAAACAATAACATAGTGATTCCCTCATAATCCCAACAGTCCCAAAGCATTAGGAGAATGCCAAACAGTGCAACTTGTCAGTGAACTATCAACACCAGATATTGTGTAGCAGCAGCTCTCCTAAGATACGAATCAGAACAGAAACAACAGAGCTGACTCCTACGCACCAAAAATATATCAGAGAAACTCTGTCTACAAGGCTAACCAGCAGTATATTTTTTTGTATATGTACAAATATCATTATTTTTAGTATRTTATAGAATCTATGTTTAATTTTTATCTATAAATATAAATTATTTTCAACATGAACACTGAAATACAGAAATTCAAGTCAAGCCATGTAAGAGACCACTATGTTTATGTGCATTTAGCTCTAAGCATTTAGCTCTACATATTTGTGCGACACCTAAGGACAGAACCCAGTGCTTCCACATCTGGAATCCTGTCTCTCCCTTGCTCCCCTCACATGTGAATATTCAGCCTTTTTTGATAATGGAGACAGACATTTACTCCAGAATAAATAAATTCTTCTATTGTATCAGTGAGAGAGGTCCTGCATTATTTAACTTGCAAAGTGCAGCCCAAATGCAAAAAGCTGCTGCTTTTTTTGCGTGCTCACTGACACAAGATATGCAGGACAGCAGAGCGGGAAGCTCTGAGGCAACGGGCCCCTTCCTAGCACCCAACACAGCTTCAAAAGCACCGCGAGGCCACAGCCACGTGGGGCTGTAGAGTACTTGTTGCTGTAACCACACAAACACACCCTTGTCACATGGGCATTCTGCTATCCCTCGATCCAAATTTATCAGCTGCAGGTTGAAAGAGACCTTCCTACTGACAGAAATGAAGGCATAAGGGGCCTCTTGGAGCTAGGCAATGAAGTGTCCATCACCACCCTCCTACAGCGCTCCGGCAGGATTCACCTTCACTGCTGGGAGCTCCCATACCCACATTGAAAACACTGAGCCCATCCCAACTTCATCACAGCCTTTTTGCAACACTGTGGGTAGACTCGGGGCTGGACGGCTCTCGGCTTCACCACTTACCTCAGGCAGCTTCCAGCGTTGTATCTAATGCAAACGCTCTAGGTGAAGATGAAGCCTATGATACTGTTTAATGATACTTAAACCTTGTAAGTTATGGGAAAGCTGATTCTCAGCTAACACTACCTGCTTTGCAGTGAAACACGCTTGGACCTTAAGACAGGGATTCTCATTGCGGGGACCAACTCTCTATGTTGARTCACTGGCCAGATTTCTCACTCTCATTGTTGACAGCTTTTTCTCACATGAAACAATATTAAACTTAAGACTAAGCTAGTCTTATTGCTCCCTACTATSACCAAACAGATCAAAATTCAACTTCTCATTTTTGTTGTCTTTTAGCAGTAAACGGAATCTGTTTTTTTGTTGTTTGTTTTTAAAATTCAAGCTTGACTTGGCATCAACATATTGGCCAACAAGAGCTTGTAAATAGGCCAGTGTATACAAAATGAATGAAATGAATCCTAAAATGAATGAAATGAAACCTTTTTTTAAAAAATATTTTTTACTTTTAGAAGTTAATAGGTAAGTGGTATGATTTTTTTTTGATTAACAGCTAATAAAATGTATCAGCTTGTGACTGATTGGGAAAGGAAGTAAGGTTCTGTACAAAACTTCCAATAAAGTATCAACATCTGTTTTAGCCATTTATAGCAGATGGTCCCCAGTATGCCACTAATCTACAGCATGACCTTTGCCTTTCATTTCCCTAAACGATGCAAAGATATAAATACACAGGGCATCTCTATGCCCACCTACTCAGGTTTTGAGTGACCACAACCTACTTGCCTATATTAAATCAGTAAAACAGCATCTTTGAGATGAAAACTCTTAATCTTTATCCTAAAGGACATCAGCTCATCACAACAGAATTGATGCTCACACGGGCATCCAAACCACTGGCAGGCAATGCCTTCTYGTCTGTGCTGCTAGTGGCTTCACAGATCTTACATACAGAGCATAAGCAAGATAACCTAAAATAAGACTGGGCAGACAGACAAGTGACAATTGAATAACTGAAGGAAGATACATACATATATATATRTRTRTGTGTGTGTRTRTATATATRTATATRTATATRTATATGTATATACACACATATATATATACACACASAGAGAGAGAGAATTCTGAAGCCTTTCCTCTTACCAGGTGAATCTGCTGCAGATGTTGCAGCACTCGTCAGGTCCTCGGTATTGATGGACTGCAGGTCTGTGTAGGAAGGGGCAATGCTTGGGCTGCTGGTGTCCTCCGAGTTGGTCGTCCAGCTGCTCTCGGAGGCACGGGCTCGTCTCTCAGAAGAGTCAGACGAGGGGGAAGTCCAGCTGGGTGCTTTTGATGGGGACGCTGGACACAGGAAAGAAACAGGCATCAGTGATGGACTCACCAGAGTCCTCTGGCAGGCGTGGTACATCACAGCTACACGGGCAGGGGCAGATCTGCCCTGCCACAGCACTGCGACCTTGTAAACAGATTCCACATCCACACACACACAGTTAGTTATTCTAGAAAAATACACAGCCATTTAACTGCCCTCCGCTGCATGGAATCAAAACTCAGCTGTCTGCCCTGGATCCCACACTGCTGACAGCTCTGAGTTTTCCTGTTATTCATGTGTTTTAGAAGCTGTGGTTTTTCAGAGCAGGAAAATTCCATCCTTCTGCYACTACTAACGAGATCTGAATATCTGCATTGTGCAGCACAGTTGGGTTCTTATATCATCATAATTTTTATAAAGTAGCTTTATTATATTTAATTAAGCATTTCCCATCTGTACCACCCACACAAATGCTGTAGTCATTTCAAGAAGACTTACCAGGAGTAATTGTATGAGATGAAAGTGACCTACTGATGTGAACTAAAAGTGCTTTTTATTTCTAACTGGTGCAGATGCAGGATAGAGTACCCCAATTTGAAGAAGTTGCATGTAATTTCTGCTCACTTTAGGTGAAAAATCTTGTTCTCCTCACTGGTCAGGGACAAATGCAAAAAACCAAGTCCTGACTCAGTCCTACCATGCAGAAGTGATGAAACAATCTTACACACCTATCTCTGAGTTTCTATTGTAGACTCTTTGACCACATCATCACCTGAATGTCAGCAGCAATGAGTGATTCAAGTAAAGATGTTAAACAAATGACACAGTAAAAAAAAAAAAATGCTGAATTAAGGAAGGCTGTATTGGTATAGATCTAATTTGATCTAATTTGATCTCAGCATAACAACTCTTTTTTTCAAATGATTACAACCTGTGTTTATCTTCTAATCCCCCGAGACCTCAGTGCATCCCAAATTTTACATTTATGGAATAATCTGTGGTACAGCGGTTCTTTTCTCAACACATAAAACCAATTCTTATTAGATTGTCTGATACTTGGGAAGACAACAGCAAATTAGTATCAAGGAAGATTTATCTCTATCTACTCCTAGATAGAGATTTCCATTTTAATGGAAATAGTGAGATGGGCCTTCATCTACTTATGGCAACATACCTAGCTTGCTGTTTGCATAGCTTAGCTATGCAAACAGTGCTCCCTGTCTTACCAGTTGAGAAATGTAAATTTATTTTATTTAGCCACGCTGTTACCCTCAGGTAAGCAGACACTAATCTAGTTATATTTGCACAGCTGTGACCAATGGACTGAGCTGTTYTGAAGCAGAATCATACCTAAGGATGAGGAAATGAAAGTTAGCTGAACTCTACCCTTAGGTTGACRATTGTTGAGTTAGAGAGATATGACCAAAAACCCACCTACCTCCCCAGTAATTCTGCACTGCATTATGCTTAGCCCGGTATAAGACAGAGTGTGTAGAGAGAAATGATGGCWAGTGTATGATTGTAACCCGCCAGTTCCTCCCTCAGCACTTTTATTAAACATGTATAAGGTATCTGAAAATCAGCCTTAAAACTTCACCTGAAATTGCTTTGACAGCTAGAATGYTTTAATTGGACATAGAAGACAAGCTTAAAAACTGAGCTCCTCACAGGAACCAGTGGCAAAAGCTATTTTTTTTTTTAATGTGTGCTTTGTACTTGTCCCTTATAGTAAGTCAATATTCTAAGTTCCTCAACACTGAAACTCAGAAGCAGTGAAAGGATATTTTTACTCCTACCGTTTCAAATAACTGTCACCAATCTCAAAACAAGAAAAATAAATAARAAGATGAAGCAAACATCTACACATTTCAAACTCCTTTTAGATATTCCTTACCACACTCCAGCCTCTCAAAATTGAAGTAACAGAATTCCTAAATGAAGTAGGTTTTTTTGTTAGGATTTTAGAACTTAATCTCTAATATTGCTCCATACAAAGTCAAGGCCTCTCAGTTGCAGGAATTCTCAGAAATCTGTTTGTGCTGAAAGACCAGTGCCAGAATTGTCTCCAAAACACAAACCCTGCAGCTGCACGGGTTTACAAACTGCAAATCAATGTTTCCCAAACTGAAAAATACATTTCTCTCCACTTGCAGTTTACTCTGTTTTCCTGATGTATTAGTTCACGGCACATAGGAGTGGTTTTTAATATGCACATCTATTATTATTAATATGCAGAATTATCTTTAAGTATTGATTCTTTGGGGGACTTCTTTGATCCTTATAGTGAATTCCAGTAGACCTTATTAGCGTCAGCATCGGCTCCTTTCTCATCTCTCATCTCCACTTTTAGGTCAGCACCACAGTTTGCCTGCCTTTGAGCTACTGCATTTTTGTGCKGCACTTACCTCCTGTTTCCAGCCAGAAAAGCACAAAGCAGTTAACTGGAGATCTGCCTTGCTGTGGGATAGCCTCCCAAGGGACGTGGTAGGAGTCCAAGTTACTTGAGCCATTTAAAACGAGACAAAGCTCTCGGGAAGGAGGGGGGTGGAACAGATGATGTAATAGATCTCGCCTTGCTCTAATTTTGGTGCTCCGCTGAATACCTCATTGAATTCAGGACTGCAGCTAACAAGAGCAGAATAGGAGATGGCCACTGAAAGGCCATTGTGCAACGAATGCAAATGTTGTGTCACCTCTCGGCTGCGGTTATTTACAAATTGGGTAACATTTCTGACAGCAACGGTCAGGCCATTCTAAAATTTCCTTTTCATTTTTGTGGTATTAATTTAGGCTAGCTTGATAATAACTATGAAAAACTATCAATTTTCTTATTTCTCCATCAAAATAAGAATTAACTAAAGGATACCAGAATGCACCATTTCTGCGACTAAATAAATCTGAGGCCTTGCCTAAGAGTTATTGGTTCCCAGGGAAAAATCCTCATCATTTGGCAGCTGTCAGCTATCTGCTGATGATCCTAAAGAAGAGAAATATTTGGAAGGAAAGATTTTTGCTACAATTTATGCTGGCTGGATTTGGTAGAATTAAGGGTTTACAAGACTTTTCTGAACAAAGGTAACTTCTATGAAACTCAAACTGCATCTCCCACTTCTACACCTCACACTTTAACCTCATTCATTCCTTCTGAATTCCGTGTTTGCGCTTTCAGCCCTATCTCTGGCTACCAGTCCCACAGACTTCTGCTTTTTGAACAAGGTCTCCAGTTTCCCCAGAGAAACAAAGGCCCAGCATCAGACTTGCTGTTCTTGTAAAAGTATTTCCTATAATAAAAAAAAAAAAGGAAAAAAGCATGGCGTGCATGATGCATGAGATTCATTCTTTTTAAAGTGTTAATTTTTCAGATTGCGATCACTTGAGATTTGAGATTCTCTTTCCAGTGAATCTGTGCAAAAAAATATGGGAGACCTGAAGTCTGAACAAGACATCACTTCTCTCTGTTGGGGCCTCTCCAACCTGACCTTAAGTCATTCTGGAAATGCCATCCTGTGAGCCATCTTCAAAACATGTTTTCAAGCAGCCCGGCCATCACTCTGGGTAACTGCCCAGCCAGCCCCGCAGCTGCTCCAGCGGGGAAGGACACGCAGACGCTTTCCCAACAGCACTGGAGCCCTGACAGGAACATGGTTGCAGCGCTGGGTCCTCAGCACACTGCTCCTTGCAGCTGCCTACCCAGAAAAGCAATTTCAAACCTTTCCCTGCTTCTCTCCAGCATGTGTGCTGACACTTGCCATTTTTATCCTMTCACCGTAACTGGCTTCTTGCTATTGTTCTTATGTGGGCTGTTTGCTACTGGAAATGAATGATGCTGTCACCACAGGCTCTCTACAGAGCGTGTCAGTGATGGTGCTGGTAACAGAAAAGCTCTGGCTTTGTGGCTGCCCACAGAGGAAAGATGTGACCTGCAAATTAATTGAAAACAACAAGGCTGAAGTTTATTCTACTTCTTGCTGTCAAAAGTCCCCCAGGGCAGACAGCCAGACAAAACCCTGTCATTCACTGTGCTCTATGACCTGCCCTTTACAGATTGTCAGCTACACCACTTCTGGTAATTTTATAAGATGAGCTCCAGAACAGGCGTGGGTTTAGCCCACGAGTCTTTTAAAGAAAGTGATATTCACATCACTTTGTTTTATAAGTCTCTATTAGCTATATAGAGCTATATATAGAGCTATATTAGCTCTATAGCTAATAGAGGGGAAACAGGCTCCTATGCAAGGGTTAGAAAGTGTAGCTGAGCAAGGCTCCTGGAAAGGAAAGTGAAGGGTCTTTCTGAAAGAAAAAACACTGAGTCTATACTGCTGTCCAATCCACCAAGTTGTGTTAGTTCAACCCAAAACTAAATTATGAGCCCATTCTGAAACCCTCGTAAGATTCCGAAACTCCTGTAAGATTAACTGTGCTAAATTATGACACAAACTAGCCAAATGCAACATTTGAAAAACATAAAGCAAGGRAAAAAAAAAATCAAAGCCCTCACTGTATTCTGTTCCGTTATTAGAATAGGCCTTCTCATGCACGTGCCTCACCTGCTCGTGGTTGCCTCGATGGAGCGCTGGTCCATGGTGCATCTTCAAACTGAACCCAAGCACTGATGGACGATGAGAGATCCGCTCTGGGGGACACATGGTTCCCAAGCACAGCAGAACCCGCCTTGGGCTTGTCAGCTCCGTCACTCAGATCGTTGTGGGAGAGGTCCTGAAATTCTCCATCCACATTATGGTTCTCTTCTGAGGAGGAGTCTGAGGAAGAAAAACATTTTTCCAGAGGTTCCTCAGTGCTACCTAAAAATAAGGGCAGAATGGAGAGATGGGTAGCAATTACCGTAACTTCATTTTGTTTTTTTTGCTGAAGTCTCTAAAATTGGCAGTTAATATTGGTGCTGAAAATTCAATCACCTTATGTAGACTTTAATCTAACAGTGGACTCAGTGTGCACTTAATAAGTGAGACTTCCTCTATGGTCCTTTGGATGTTGTGCTTTATAAGCAACCATAGAGTGAAATCCTACGCCTATAACASACTTCGGAAAACAGCAACAACAAACTTCACATAAGGATAGTGTTTTACATTTTTCCCCCAATTTCTCCCATTACATAGGAATAGGAGGAGAAAATTCAAGTTCTGTTCATATTGCTTTCTCTAAGAAATCAGGGTCTGTGATGATACATCACAAGTATCATTACTTATGATAAATAATTTAGTATCCTTACCATCATTAATATTTGGCCTAATTTACATAAAGTAAGCTTTAAAAGATTCAAAAAACAAACAAATACCTTGTGGTTTAACAGGGAGGAGCAGGTCATCATTGAAGGACACCCACTCGGACTGGTGGGAAGCAATGACACCAGTCAGAGACGTCATATTCGCACAAGGCTCCTCATCTTCCCTCAGTGCTTAGGAGAGGTGCTCAGCACCAGAGAGGGTTTGCTGAAGATGAGCCAGGAGAGGCAAGTAGCTCCCTCATGCTATCCTTTCTTTTCTGTTGAACTGGTGTTAAGACAAGAAAATTTAAAAATAATTAAAAAAAGGATGAAATCATATATTTCAGAAAATTAAATGGAAAAAAATGCCACCATTCCAGTACTACAGACTATTAAAACACTTTGATTTCTACAGGCACAAGACTGCCAAAATATTGCTACTTTTGAGACAGGAAGGTTTCCTGGTACAGAGGAGGCCTACATTAGAACAACTCTTTGAAGATTAGGATGCTTAAAGAGCCTCAGATGCTTTCATCAGTCACAGAAAACCATGTTTCATTACTAACTCCACGATCCACATCTCACGTAACTATGCGGAAAAGACTGTGAAGGGATTCTCTAGAAACTAGCAAATTTTGATAATGATGTAATCTACTCCAATTCCTAAAATGGTCCTTATCCTTCTTGCTATTTAAAATGTTTGATACCTCTCAAGAAMCAGCAATAGCCTCTGTTCCTCATTATCAATAAAATATATGTAGCCAGATCTGAAATTACAACGAATGCGCTTAGCAGAACCAACATTTGCATCATATAAAATTACCACTGCAAGCTTTGAATCCCCCAGTAAAGATGTGCATTGCAAAGACATTCTTGTCTACCAAAAAAAAAAAAAAAATCAGAGTATAACCAGAAAAATTACAAGTTAATAGCCTGATTAAATTGATTAGAAAGATTAGTGTTTCCATGTGAGGAAGATAAACACAAGAAAGAGCCTTATGCCAAGTAGAGGATCATAACCTAGAAAACACTACCTGAAGGATGCGGTCGTCCAGGACTCAGATTGCAGTCTCAGTGTCAAAAGATGCCCTGTCAGCTCGCTGCGCTTTGATGCTTGAATAGCATTTCACATTTTAATTTTAAAAATTCTTTACATCTTCTAAGGAACAGGGCGTGATTTTGCTGTAATACAGCAAATATTTTTGCACAAGGCACAAGTTTAATCAGGATGTAYTCTGAGAGGATGAACCTTGCATAGGTATGGTAATCTGTTAGAATTAGCCAACGGGTCTGATTGCAAGCTTGAAAAGCCAAGTCTGGGGAGAGAATCGGTCCTTGGACCAGCATTCAAGACGTGTTTGCAGCTTGCTCGAAACTCTCACAAGACAACGGCCTCCTAGGCAAGTGTGTGAATTCTCTCCCTAATTATCTGAAATACTGAAGCTCTTGTTGCCATGGTATCTAAGTACTTGAAAATACTAACAAGCTCAGACTTGGCTATTTTAATGATGTATAAGTGGCATCTCTTGGCCTACTGCCTCTCACCTAATTCAATGTTTTTCTGGTGAAATTTCATGTTGGTTTAAAGGAACAGRTATTTTACTGAGGTATCTCTTTACCCTACATTGGTAACATCAAGTTCCACAGAGCAGAACAACATTTAAATGTATTTACTCTTTAATCTTTTTCTGCAAGAAGCAGAAGACCATTAACTAACAGCAATACAATTTGCCTCTTTGGGTCCACAAAGTTATTGGTCTGCTAAAAGTGGGTCAGTAAATAAAAGCCGCGTGAGAGAGCTGCACATTTCTTCAGCCTGGATGTGACACCTGGCAGAGAGGATCCACAGATCCAARTTAATTGCCCGCAAGCCGAAACCTGGACCTCTTCAACCAGAACTTAACATAAACCCCCCAGTTTCCTGCAAAAGAGAAAATTATTTTGCCAGGGCAGTTCTGACTGCTAGGTGCATCTTGCCAGGAGAGGACTGATCCCGTCGTGTCGGCTCCGCGCTGCCAGAGCCCGTTGCCACCCGCCTGCCCTTTCCTTCCTCACGCTCCCTGAGGCGGCAGGAGCGGCCGCAGGCCYGGGCGGGACACGGCGCTCGCCCTGTGTGCGGGGCCTCCCCGGGCCTCTACTCACAGCAGCTACTACTGCTAACAAAGCTCAACAGGGACCCGCGAGCAGAAGAGGAATCATCAGATGTGCAGGGTCACAGGGACGCTGTATGAGGGAGGAGGAGGCCAACCTTCATCATTTGCTTTCCCCATGTGACCAATTAAGCTGCTTGTTTTGGTTTTGTTTAAATATCTGTAACTCAGGTCTTTATTTTCCCTAGACATCTGAATGGTGACCTCTCCCCCTTCTCCTGGAAAAGTCCTCACGGAAGCACGAAAGGGCAGGAAATGAAAAAAGAAAACAGTTTATCTTGCGCTTAGCGCACAAGGACTCCAGTAGAGCGGGGTTTTGTTTGTTTTCCTTTTAATGTCCAAGGTAGAAGCCATTAAAAAAAAAAAGAGACTGTTCCAGATGTGCTATCAGGTGGGATAATTTTACCGTTATTCTACCATTGTTTTGATTTCTGCTTTCACCCTGACATAAGCACATTTTCTAAAACCATTCAGTACTAAGCAACCAAACGTCATCATTTAGAATATCTGATCAGAGTTTCGTTTGCTCTGTTTCATGCCACCGTATGAGGAATGACTGCTCCTAGCTGGACCTCCAGATCCAGCCTGTTAGATGCAGCCTTGGGTCATGGTCTCCCCTTTTGTGTAGCACATACAGTGACCACCCACCTCGATATGAGCAGTGAGCAGCATGAGCCCAGGAAGGCATCAGAGAGCACCACAAAGGGCACCACTAAGTGCATGTTCTACCTACATAACCTTCCCACTGCTGGAATTTTCTACAGACTTCCCAGTTTAGCATATGATGGAGCGTGTGATGGTTTATTGTCAGGGTTATCATCACTTTTCACAGGAGTAACCTGAAAGAAAGGAAAGTCAGCCCGAGCAGACTGTACTGCCAAAGACTTCCAAAGCAGGGGCAATCTGAGGATGCATATGTTAGGATGAAATGAATATAAAAAGGAGAGAATTTCTCTCAGGTGTTCACAGTGCCTAATCTTACTCAACAATCTAACGTAGACATTTCTACAGAACAGTGAATCACATATAGTTAACTCCTTTGCAGATAGTGCAAAAAGAGCTACACAGCTTTAGCCTGAGTTACTTTTACCACTTTTCACATTGCAAAATCCTGCACAGAAAACCAAATCAATCCAGTTGGTAGCCAAGGAAGCCTAGTGAGCAGGATACCAATGTCACTGTGCTTTCAGTTAACAAAGTGATGCTGCAATTTGCTGAATTAAGACAGAAGTGCACGTCTCTAGGGAATCTATTTGACTCTGTGGAAAAGTCCCAATCCTTTTTTTAGCAAAGCAACCATCACCCATTGCTTAAGTAGAAGCACCCTCTGATTTCAAAGCTACACAAATTCACAGCCAGTTCACTGCCATTTCTTTATGTGATAAAGTTTTCTCTCCCTGATCTTTTTTTTCTCCTGTTCTATTAACAGATACAAAGAAATATCACTACCCTTCTGATGATGGATTTTCTTGTAACAATCTCAAGTTTCACTAATATTAGGAAGGTCTCAAGGTAAAACATGCAATTTTTATCTTGACCACATCTGTTTTGTAAACCTTTAGAGACAAAACAATTCTAGCAGTGTGAAGTACAGAATAATTGCTGCCTTGGGCAGATTTCCAAATGAGTGAGAGCTCATGGTTCTTCCTCTCAACTTGGCCTGCAACAAGCACTGACCATCAGTACATTATGATCTGAATAATAAACAAACCCCAATTTGGAAACCTGTTCCGAAGCATCAAAAGAAAATCTTAACTACCTCAGGATACAACAGGAAAAACAAACAAAACCWAGTAAAAATAACTGAAAAAAAAAGTGAAATAAAGGAACTGGATTTCAATTTTGTTATTACTGAGAAATCATTGCAACAGCCTCTAAATGTCTGAGATGATCCCTAAGTTCATGAATGACAGAGATGAAAGAAATCATATTCAATTATTTTACACTTTATATTTTTGATATCGAAGACTATTTTCCCCATGTGTACAGGCCCTCAGCTCATAAATTGCCCCTCAGAGAAAAGTTCTGTTTACAGCAGATTTTAGAACTTACACCAGTTTTGTTCACTCCGACTTATACGTGCTACTGTACGGGGTTCCTTGATTCCAGCATTACCCTAATAGGTTCAGTCACTGTTTACTGCATGTACTACYCATCTCTATGAAAGCTATTGATATACAAGGAAGAATCAGGGCTCCAAGGGACCCAACTGATCCACTCACAAGGGCTCCTCTGGCCTCTCTGGGAGCTTTGCCTGTCACAGTGGCTCCTAAGTGAACAGCAAGGAGACTCTCAATARCACTCTGCACATACACCTCCCCTTGAGTATATTATTATCCCTGGCATTGGGGACAGAAATGGCAATTTTAGGCAGAGATGAAGCAGGCAGAGCAGGGCCATCTGGCATATTGAATGACAGAAAAGTGCTCGGGGGTCTCCCCRAGGACAGGGCCCAGTCACAGAGGCTAATGGCCATGCCCACTTATTCCTACAGATAAGAAATCATCTATCTAAATGCACAATGCAAGTCAGTGCCGGAAGCAGCGTTATCGCTGAGGTGTTTAGGGATGCCTGTGTTTTCCCTGGACCACAAAATCTCCAGCAGCTACACATGAAACCGTTCCCCACTAATGCAGGAAGCCCATGTTTAGTGACAGTAAGAAAAGATCCCATGGGTGACGTGTGGATAAGAAAGTGATAAGTGTCTCCGCCAGGAAGATCTGTGTCAAGTCTAATATCCGAAAGGTCAGCAGCTGCTGTTTTCTTTACATCATGATTTATCTGTCACAGGAGCTCTATTTTCCAGATGACAGACAGGACCCTTGAGGTCTTCTCTTGCAGACGACACTGGGATGTTTAGGGAGGTCAGAAGGCAGAGCTCGCTCTTTCTTCTGCGGAGGRCACGCTTTAGAAACACTCCATGAGTTCAGAAGGGCTCGTAACTACCGGCTATCAGATAAGATACTATTTACAGTGATGAAAAAGCTGATATCGGAAGAAAATTGTACAGTGCCTTCCTTTACCTCTAAGAACTTGAGTAATGTAGAAAGGCATTGTACAAGATCAGCAAAATAGAAAAATAATAGGAATTATTTTTGGCAATTACAGATAATATGTAACAGGGAGAAATTAAGGGAGGACATCAGACAAAATGTTTGGCAGACAAAATGTCTGCCAAAACAGACATTTTTGTATCCCCCATCACATCAGGAAAGCAGAAACGGCTTTGGTTTTCAGGGTGCTTTAAATTGAGCTCACTGTGGGCCCATGATACGTTTGAGGCACAACTGCATTAAAACTATAAGAATAATTTCCCAAACGGTCAGCCTTGCAACTCAAGCTGGGATCTGAGGCAAAGAAAGGCTGCTCATTGTCAAATACTGCGCTTGCTTTACAGACCCACGTACATTAACACTAGACTAGGGGGGGAGGCGGCGGGGGGGAATCATAAGAAACAGTGGGAAATACACCAAGTTACTCAGCAGGTCATTTGCATTTCTAAAAACTGTGYCTAATCTAAAATTTCTAGTCACTGTACCACAAATATGAGGGGGAAAATAAAGATAAACAAAAAAGGCAAAACATTTAAGGGCTTAACTTCCCAATGTCTAGGCTAATTCAGAAGGTTTTTACAGCTAAATTAGGCTTGCCTTGTTCTTTGAAATTCTGCAAATCCTAAGAGAAGGCAACACRAAAAAATCTAAATGAAGTAAGAGTGGGACAAAGTGGTAACATCACCTTATGAGAGGTCACAAGCACAGCCCCCTTCAACCTTTCCTTGTTTTCTTGGTACCACAGCCCCATATCACTAAATAAACGTGGCAGGAGGCGAACACAGGTCGCAAAGCTCTCCCCTTGCATCCATCTTCTTAGCTGGGATTAACAACAACAAAAGCAGGGAAGTG